ATTTTTAATTGTTATAGGTCATCACTTTTCATTTAAATTTTAAAGGTTACTACAATCTACTCACCTTTAACAAATATCATCCTCAATATTTCTAAGTAATATTATCAGAATAATCCTAGATATAACTATCTCATCTCAGATTCCTTCTCCCAAGTAGTCTCTCAAAAATTTTTGGTTCTCATTTAAAGAGTAGAGAGAGAAACTCCCGTTTAGAGAGAGAAACTCCCGTTTTAAATTTTTGGTTCTCAATTTTTCAGTAATCTACACAGAGATGACGGCCGATGGCCACCAGCCATCTCCTGTCTCTACAACTAATGCACAACCTAATAGGTTGGGTATTACGATTAGCAAAGATATTAATCGTCGAAAGACAGATCCAAATCATGAGATTAAGAATGAGAAGAAGAGGCGTTCTTATGGTCCGTTGGTGATAATGAAAAATAATGGTATTTCTCCAAAAAAGATTATTTTCATTGAAGGTAAGGGAAAAGGTATTTGGCATGATCCTAAAAGTATTACACCGTGTAAGGTGAAGACGCCTGATGTTTCTCCATTGAAATCTTTTGATCTTGATGCTTCTTCGTCAGGTATGAAATTTTTTGTTAATAGATTCGAACATTCAAATGCAATCCTTGGCAATAGTGTGATAAATGTGAATTCCTTGATACTGGTTAACAAAAATGTTCTACATAATGATGATTTAGCAGGTACTCTGGTTGATTCTAGAATTTCTAAATCTAGTTTTTTTCCGATTTTTGCACAAATTCTTTCTTCATCTATTGAAGCTTCTGTTAGAAATTTGATTCATGTTTCACTCAATGAGAAGATGGTTAAAAGTAATGTTGAGAAGGAGTTTAACTCAGTTAGTAACAAAATTGAATTTCTCATGTCAAATGATAATGTTAATGCTTGGAGAAAACCTCATATAAGGATTATAAATCCTCCTGAAAATGTGGAAATGACTGAAGATGGAGTAGCTGTCAAAATTCTTTCTAATGATGAAAATGGAAATATTCATAGGCTACACAATTCTATTGTGGTTAAAGTTTTCGGTAAGTCTATTCCTTTTGGTGTTATAAGCAATGAGTTAAGGAGACAGTGGAATGGATTGGGGGCTTTTCATCTTACCAATCTAGAAATGGACTAGATGTTATGTTCATTTCACTTGATCGAAGTTAAGGAAGCTATGTTGAGTGGAGGACCATGGTTCGTTGCTGGACATATTATTAGAATGGAAGAATAGAATCCAAGTTTTCAACTCTTTCTTTAAGAAAATTAATTTCTACAGTTTGGATTAGACTATCATATCTTATGTTATCCTGTTGGGATGCAAATAATATAACTAGAATTGCATCAAAAATTCTATACCATTATTTCTTGATGGTAATATGTTTAATTGGGGAAGGAGAGAGTTTGTAAGAATATGTGTTTGCATTAAGATTGATGAAAAGCTTCCTCAAGGAGTATGGGTTGAAGGTTGTTCTGGGCATTTCTTCCAAGAGGTACAACATGAAAAGATTGCATCCTTATGCTTTCACTGTGGTAGAATTGGTCTCAATTCTTATAAATGTAGTTCTTTTAATAACATTGATAAGGTGGACTTATCAGTGAATGAGAAGGCTGTTAATCTCTATGAGAAGGTTCCTGAAGTTATGAAGGGTGAAATAACTAGAAAAGTAATTAATAACTGCAACATTCCTATTGTTAAAGATAGGCTGAACTACAACGAAGATTATGGCCCCTCGATTTTGGTAAATCATGGAAAGAAAAGACCATTCCATTATAAAACAAGGTCTAATGTCACTACTTCAGGCTATAAATATGTGGAGAAGACCAGTCATAAGTCTAAGGATGAAAATTCTAAAATAATCAGAGATAGTTCTATGGTGGCAAAGGGACCTATTACTGCTTCTTCTAATGGCATTGTGGAAAATGTTATGTATGGTATATAATAACATGATGGAGAATGATGTGCTCCCAGTGCAAATGGAAGAAAAAGAAAAAATTGAAATTGTCTATGAGCCAGAAAAATTGGAAGAAGGAGAATTTGTTCCTGCAGCTATTTCTAATAAAGAAGAAGATAATTCTAATTCATAGTCTTTCAATGATGGGAGTTCTGTTAAAGAAAATGGAAATTATGAATTTTATTTGGGCATTGAAGGAGTAGATGGTATTAATGTTATGGAAGGAGAATGCGGTCCTGATTGTAATGTTATAGAATTTAACAAAATTCCTGTTTTAAAAAAATCTGTAGCATGTAAAAGCTCTCCAGTTAGTAATGATGGGAATGATGCAAAGATTTCTTTACAGTGTCATGAAGAAAAGGATTTACATAATTGTGACCTTCTTAAATCATTTGAGAAGGATAATGAGGATATTAAATCATCCACTAAATGGGAGAAGGATCCTAAAAAATTTGGACCTCTAAAGAATAGTCTTACAGGTAGAAAAAGTGTAGATAAGTTGAAAAGCATTGGGGGATTCTCCCCATCATATCCATAATGGCATCTTTACTCTTTTGGAATTGTAGGGGAGCTAAGAAGAAATAAGCTTCCCATTATTTAAGGAGTGTTATTAAGGATAATGGAGTGTTCTTTATTGGCTTATTGGAGACTAAATTGGCTTGTATATATAGAAACAAAGTTAGTAAAATTGTGGGAAGTGGATGGAATTTATTTCATCTTGATGCTAAAGGTAAAGCTGGAGGTATTCTTGCTCTTTGGAAAAATGGTGTTTCTTCTTTTAATGTTCTCACTTCATCAAACCAATGTATTATCGAGAAATTAACAGATTTGACAGGTAATACTTGGACTATTGCTATTGTTTATAGTAACAAGACCGTGAGTGAAAGAAGGAATCTATGGGAACTTATTGAAAACTTTACATCGCTGGATAAACCTTGTATTATTGAGGGAGATTTTAATTGTATTCTTTCCAAAATGACAAAAAAGGAGGTAAAAGATTCTTGTTTTCTAAAGGCCCACAGAGATAATAGAGTTCTTAAAAAGAAATGATTTTCATGATATAGGTCTAAGGGGACCCAAGTTCACATGGTGTAATAATAAGGAAGGTATTGCTCATATCTGGGAAAGTCTAGACATAATTTTACTTAATTCCAAAGCCTTAGAACTTATCCCATTTTGCAGTTATCAACCACTTGGCTAGAGTTTCTTCAGACCACTGTCTGATACTTATTAATCTTCTCAATACTCAGGCCTTTTTTTCAGAAATCTATCAAATTTGAGAATGTTTGGTGATCTTATGATTCTTTATGGGGTGTGATTAAAAAAACATGGCATAAAGCTGATTATGGATCTGATTCGGACATTCTTAAGAGGAAAATTGCTAGATCTCTTAAAAGCTTATTTTTTTGGAGCAAAAAGAAATTGAAGGATTTAAATGGGCTGAAGAAGGAGTTGCAGTAGGAAATTTTATCTCTTCAACTAGAGGAGAGTGAAACGGGGCTTAGTTCAGAGAAGCTTGTTGCTTCGAGAATGAAGGTAAATGATCATAATGTAACTCTTGGTAGATTAGCAATGTGGTTGAGGCAAAGATCAAGAGCTCAGTGGTTGTATGAGAGTGATCACAACTCTCATTTCTTTCAGAATTTTGTAAACTCTAGAATAAATGGTAACATCATTCATCAAATTAGAAATATGGAAGGCATTCCCGTTAACAATCCATAGGAAATTCACAATATTTTTGAAAATTTCTTTCTAAACAAATGGATATTCAGAAATTGTTTAATGGAAGGATGGCCTATGAATCAAAGTTTTAGCCCAGAAGAATTCTCTTATGGTAGATTTCCAAAAGATTGAATTGGTTTCTATTTTTAAGAAAATGAACAGTAATAAGTCTCCCAGGAATGATAGGGTGAACTCATTTTTCTTTAAAAGCTACTGCAATATTATTCATATGGAGGTATGGAAAGTAGTAAAATCTTTCTTTGAATCAGGAAGGATGCTTGATGAATGGAGAGAAATTTTGGAAGTTTTGCTTCCAAAGGTTAATGCTAATGATGTTAAAAATTTCAGACCTATTAGTTTATGTCAAACTATTTACAAAATGGTGCTTGGCATGATTTGGAATAGAATAAAGGATTGTATTCCAAGTGCTGTTTCAGAACAACTAGTGGCATTTATTCCGGGTAGATCAATATCTGATAATTATCTTCTTATACATGAGATAATTAATAAATTTAGATTTTCTAAATCTAACCCAGGATTTATGATGCTTAAATTGGATATGGAACAAGCCTATGTTAGTATGGGATGGGATACATTGAAGCAAGTCCTCTTCATTATGGGCTTTCCTGATATTTTTATTCAGCTTGTTATGCAATGTGTTTCTTGTCCAAAGTTTTCCATTATTATTAATGGGAAAAGAAGTAAATGGATTCATGTTGAATGTGGTTTTAGACAAGGATGACCATTATCTTCAGTATTAAGATAGTTGCTATTTAGTTTTGCATATTTGATTTTTTTGCAACTTATATATTTTTTATGATTCCAAATATTATTATTTTGATTATTATTTCTCCTAACATATTTTTGGAAGAATTATTTTTCTTGAATGCATATCTTTTGTCAAGTGTTGGGTTTTGAGGAAGAAACCTTCTATAATACGATTTGGATTTTTGCAGTGTTGCTTGGTTTTGCCAGAAGCATTTCAAAATTCGTCTGCCATACCAAATTTGTTTTAATGAAAGAATAATTACGACATTCAACAAATAATTAAATACCAACAAGGAGTTATAGGAATAGAAGCATATCTTTAAATACAAACAAAAAATCTTTAATTAATCTTTAAATATATGCCAACAAAAATTCATAACCTTGAATAAAAGTATAAAACTACAATCTAGCACTGATATGTCAAGCACAAAAACATTCAAAACATGGGTGCATTGTGAAAGAAAAAGAAAAACACATTCATAATACATAAATAAAGTTACTAATGTTTCTCTTAATTAATTCCACAAAAGTAAAATCATATATCTCCTAATTTGCATCGTGAAAGCTATCCTCACAATTTAAGTCTTCATGTCCTGCTTCACTAAAATCTGCAGCCACAAATGCACCTAAATCATTGAAGTCAATAAAGTCATCTCCATCTCCTTCATTCTCAAGTTCACCTTCACAAACAAATTAAAAATATTAATGGGTATTTTTTATTTTACTTAAATAATATGTTCATATTTTACTAACTTACTAGGTGTAGGCTGAGTGGATGCAATATTTGCTCTTCAATACATGTATTGAAGACTCTTCGTATATCTCAGTTTCCAACTCCTCTAATGTAAGATTTGGAGGTGATTCCTCATCAAGGGCCCAAAAATATACTATTTCAACACAAGTGTAATCAAGAGGATCATAGCTTCTTTTTTTAGTTTAAACCTAAATAATGAAGTAATAATTTTAGTGACATTTCTATAAACATACAATGTATTGATTGCGTTCAAAAATAAATAATTATACCTATCTTTTAAATTTATATTATATCAAAGATACACGAGGTCGTTCAATCGTTGATGCTCCAAATGATTGCATCTCTTTGAGTGAATTTGTTCAAAAACACTCCAATTTCTTTCGCAACCAGATGATGATGATGTTTGGCTAAGAATTCTTATAGCAACTTTCTGCAAGTTAAGGGCACTTGATCCAAACATCTTCCACCACTCATCTGCATAATGTGATATTATAAAGTTTAGTAAATAAGCATATAAGTCAAAAAAAGGTATATGCATGGACATTTAAAAGATAATTACCAGGTTGCATTTCCTTTGCCATCGTTAGAGCAATTGATTTTCCAAAACTTTCTAAGCTATCTCGAAATAATCCAACCTCATTCATTGCAAGTTTGGGCTTATGAAAAACATCCTTATTTCCAATAAGTTCAACAAGTCCTTGCAATACTTCTGTCTTTTGATAGTAATTCTCCTTTTCGTACTGAAATTGAGGATTTAGAAAATATGCTGCTGCATGAATGCCTTGTCTTAATTGAGTATCCCATCTTCTTTTTACTATACTGGTGAATGGCTTATATAATCTTTTAACATTTCTAAACATAGCTTTGATTGCCTTCCGTGCCCTATACATTCCATCATATAAATAATCAAGTGATGGTTTCTCATCTGAGTCCATAATGCGCAACAACCTGATCAAAGGACCTGCTATCTTTGAAATTATTAAACAATCATTCCAAAACTTTAAATCTAAGATTATTGCAGCTGCTCTTTCCCCGTACAGGTTTTGGCTATCTTTGAATCTGCATAAAACTTACTTGTAATTAAAACTTGTTGATCATTTTTATGCTCACATATACTATTTAAGGTTATGGAAGTTGTTGCAAACCGTGTGGCTCCTGGACGCACAATCTCCTTCCAACCCTGCCTTTTCCTAAGCCAAGCAAGTACATAAACATGATTATAAGCAAAAATCATCACATTGGATGCTTTCTTTGCCAAGTCCTCTATGAGAGGCATGCTGCCCAAGTCTTTCAAAATTAAATTCAAACAGTGTGCAGCACAAGGCAACCAATAAATGTTGTTAAATCTAGCTTGTAAGAGCTCACCTGCTTTCTTGTAATTAGCAGCATTATCGGTAACAAGCTGAACAATGTTTTCAGGCCCTACCCACTCAACAATTTCACTAAATAATGAGCACAAGTTTGTAGCATCCTTAACAATATCTAATGCATCCACTGATTTCAAAAAAGATACACCACGGGGGCAATAAATCATAAAATTTATTAATGTTCTACTCCTTCCATCAGTCCATCCATCCGCCATAAGAGTACATCCTGTGTCCTTCCAAGTATTTCTATAGCAATCAATGAGTAACCTACACTCCTCTTTATAATCCTTAAGTAGGTTAACCCTCATATTATGGTAAGATGGAAGCTTGTATCCAGGACCTATAGCAGTTATAGCATCCACAGCTTTCTGTGCATATGGTGAATTTAAGGCATTGAAAGGTATGCAACAATAAAAAAACCACCTTGCTAGAGCTAGGTCAGCATGATGTACTACTTCCTTAGATGCCAAAACACTTTTGATTGAAGGTGGTGAACCTGATTTTGTTCTTGGAGCAAAGAAAGTGTCAATCTCAGCAAGCTTTCTCTTCCCCTTAGCAAGTTCTAATATATATGCTTCAGAGGATTGGGATTTAGGTTGGGAGGAAGAATCCCCTCCTTCGTCTACTTCAGCATCTATTGGAAATCGTGTGCTTTCTAACTCCTCTTGCACTTGTTGTTTTCTTTTTGAAATATCCTTTAAGTTCTCCTGCATTTGAAATCTAACATCATATGGAACCTTCTTGCATGCTGCTATATTCCCCTTAACTTTTGCTAGATGTTGTTTCATTATATTTATTCCTCCTCCCTTGTACACAATACCACAATGCAAACATTTGAATTGTCTCTTCCCCTCAGCTCCTTTAATCTCACTAAAATGATTCCACGCAATATCCACCTTTTCACGCACACTACAACTTGAAGCTTTGCAAATTGGATACACAACAAAGTCTAGAAAACCTTGGGATTAAGATGAATTATGAGGATTATGCTCTAATTATTGATATATATCTGAAACAACCATATAAAAATTTTAAATAAAAATGACAACTAGATTGAGGGATTCAACAAATAAATAGATATTGCTAACAAATAATCATATTGAGATAACATGGAAATCCAATAAAATAAAAACTAAAATAGGAAAAAAATTCAAAGAAGCATTTAGATAATGTAGGAAGATCCAAAAAGAAAAGAAAAAAAAAAGTTAAACCCCGCGGTAAACCAGCGGCTAGGATCGTCGGAGGAGTTCGCCGGCGGCTTGGATGATCGTGCTGTTGTTATTAAGAAAGGAAGTCATCCAACTAATTCAAAGAGAGAAAAAAATGTTGAAAAAAAACAAATTTAAATCTCACGGTAGGAGGACGTCGCGGATGGGATGGTTGGAGGAGTTCGCCGCGGATGGGATGGTTGGAGGAGTTCACCGCGGATGGGATGGTCAGAGGACGGGAGGAGTTCACCATGATTGGGATGCTTCGGTCGACGAGCCAATAGTGGAACACCAGAACAGCCGCTTCTTCAGTTGTCAAATTCAAGCGAGTATAGGAACAGCCAAATAATGAATCCATTGAATCGCTATTTAGGGTAGAGGAGCGTCACGAGCGATTCGCAGCCTCATTACACGCGTGTGATCATTTTTGGACGACTGAGATTCACTAATCTTAGAACCGGCCGATTCTTCAAAACCCGCCCGGTTTGGCAGTTCATCGGTTCAACCGGGTTCTTGATCGGTTTTTTGCTGGTTTCGCTTACAGCCGGTTCTTTTGGCAAACCAGACCGCCCGTCAGACTGGTTCGCGGTTAAACCGGTCGAACCGGCCGGTCCGGTCCGATTTTGAAAATGTTGGTATTTTTATTTTATTGAGTCTGAGAGAGTGTGTTTGTAATTAAGTAATTGAGCACACACATACGGGGGAGAGTTTTAAAATTCATATTTTTAAACTGATCGTACAGTATGAAACTAGTTCGTATGGGATGATCTGGTCAGTTATTTTCCCTAATGAGCAATGGAGTGAACAGAAATGACCCAAAATGTTTCTAAGTAAAGATCATACGGATGATATTTTTCGTTCATACTGGGATGATATTTTTCACTTGGAGAGTGTGAATAGCTGAAGGTTCTCTGCCTACACTTGGAGAGTGTGAACAGCCGAAAGTTCTCTGCCTACACTTGGAGGGTGTGAAAGGAAAACGGTTCTCTGCCGTACCAGCAATTGGTGGAAGAGAGTTTTGTAAAGGCTTCTCCGCCTTACTGTGGGAGCAAAAGGAGAGTAACTTTGGTAATAGTGTAATACCTGAAGTGGGAGGCTTTAGGGAGTGGATGTAAGTCATGTTTTATCAAACCACTATAAACCTTTGTATCTTTTTATTTCCACTGCTTTAATTTTTGCAAGTTTATTTTTCCTTGGTTCAAATTTTTTTTTAAAAATTTAAAATCAACTTGCTACAAATCATTAATCGATTTCATTTTTTAAATCCAATAGTGTTAAAATTTTAAAATTACCAATTCACCCCCCCCCCCCCCCTCCTAATTCCCCCCCCCCCCCCCTCTTGGTTAGCCTTGGGATATTAGTTTAGGTTTAACCATCTATTTTAGATTCAAAAAGTTTCAACATTCAGAACTATTTATTCTTTGTTCATAGCTGTTATCAAAATCTTTACAGAAGAGAGGACAAGGACTTGGTATTAAAATTGCTTCTAATACTCCTAAAATTACTCATTTGTTATATAGCGTTGATGTAATGATTGTTGTTGAAGTTTCTTCTTCCAATGCAAATTATATAAACAAGATTATGGGTGATTATTGTGAATGGATTGGTCAAAGAATTAACAAGGAAAAATCACAATTATTATTTGGAAAATCCATTTAACGGATGGCTTAGAAAATTGTAGGAAGAATATTGGGTGTTCATAAAGTAAAGGAATTATGCTATCTTGGTGTGAAGTTGCCTGTAAGGAGACACAAATACAATGATTTCTACTTTATTCTTAACAAAGCCATAAGCAAACTTAATATTTGGAGTTTGCAGAATTTATCTTTAATAGGAAAAATTGCTTTGCTGAAATTAGTTTTTTCTTCCATACCTCTATTTTAGATGACTCGCTCATTGGTTCCTAAGAGTATCTTTTATAATTTGGACAAGTGTTGCAGGAACTTATTAAGGCATAAGGAATAGGGGAAGAGAGGTATGCACTACATTTCATGGAAAATTCTTTGCAAATCAGTTGAGCAAGGTGGATGGGGTATTCAAGGAGCTGCACAAAGGACTTGTCTTGTAAGAGCTAGAATTTCATGGAACTTCATCAATAATCAAAATTCTCTGCTTAATAAAATCATTTTTGCAAAGTATGGTAATACTATTTGGAAAGATGATTCAAGGAAAAATTCTTCTACGACTTGGCGCATTATTAAAGATGGTGCTCATTCTTTGAATAAAATCATTAGATAGAGAATTTCAAATGGAGAATCTATCAATATCATAAATGATACTTGGATATTGGATAGATGTTTCAATAAATGGCTTGCTTGCATTAATATTCATTAGATAGAAGATAGAAATATTTCTAGTTTGTTGGACGAAAGAGGAGAATGGAAAAAGGAATCATTGATTAATCTATTTTATGCTGAAATGGTGGAAGTCATCATCGAAATTCCTGTAGATAAAGCTTTGAGACAAGACGAAGTGGAACTGCTGGTCAACAATAATGGAAAGTCTATTGTTGCTATGGCTTTTCATGCTGAAAATAAAATTGAAGAGGATGGTATTAATATTAATTAGATGAAGAAGTTCAAACTTAATCCTAAAGCTAAGATGTTATGGTGGAGGCTTATTAATAATTCATTACCTACTAATAGTTGGATGAAGTATAGAAGACTTCGGGAGCATAGCACATGTCCAAGAGGCTGTAAGGAAGATGAAGATAATATTCACATTACTACATGTTGTAGTAAACTGCTTGAAATCTTTTATGCTTTGGAAAGATGGGGAATTCATATGCCTTATCTCATTGGCGTAGCGGATTGTTGGAAGGAATTGGAGAAATTATCTGATGCAAATTCTACCTTGGTTAAAATATATCTGAATGTTGTGTATCAGAATTGGAAGGCAAGGAATTCTTATATGCATGGTTTGAAGGTCCTTTCGTCTCACTCTTTAGCTGCTAATGCTTTATCGCATGCTTCACAATCTTTATTTATTCCAATTTACAATAACTTGGATATTAATCAGCACTTGTTGCTATATAAAGCTTGGTATCCTCTGCCTACAAATTGGATAAAACTCAATGTGGATGCTTGTTTATAGAAATCTAATAAGGCAAGTATTGTCGGGAGTATTGTGAGATCACAAAGGAAAATTTCTTATGGTATATGGAAAGAAATTGCTTCATTGGGACATTTCTCTATTGGAGCTAATTGATGTTTTTTATTTCAAATTTTTTATTCAAGGATGGATGAATGGAATAAAAGGTATTATTATCAAAGGTGATAATATCAATGTGATCAAGCTTCTTAAACAATAAATAATGAAGAATCAGAATAAAGTGGTGCAAAAAATGGACTTCTCATTTTTAGATTGTTTTAATAATGCTAATTTCCATTTTTTCTAGAGAAGGAAATAAATTGGCGAATGGTTGTGCTAATTATGCCTTAATGGTTGTGCTAATTATGCCTTAATAGGAGATTTTTATTGGGATTGTACTTTATTTGGGAACCTTCCTTCAAGTATTGCTAACTTGATTAGGAAGGATTGTGATAGTATTTATATCACATAGGGTTTTGTATTTCTCTTTTTTTTTTATAAGTTTAATGCATTTGCAGTTCTTCATAAAAAAGGTAGCCTCTCTAGCAGTCATGTACTTCCATTGCACCTTGACCATAAGAACTTATTTTCTCCTCAAGTTTCTCACATCATATGCCAAAATCCTATCAGTCTCTACCCTATAGTAGCGATTCAAATGAACTTTAACATCTTTAATAGATAATCAAATCAAATACCTAATTTCTCAAAGAAGACACATGAAACACCAGTGTATATCAGATATATGATCGGTAACATGAACCTATAAGCAAAACTGCCAATACTTTCAATGATCTTAAAAGGTTCAATAAACTGTGTACTTAGCTATCTGATTCTCCCAAATCTATTGACACCTTTCATATGGATGACCTTAACATAAATAAAATTGCCAATCTTAAACTCAACCAACATGTGTTTTTGACCTTAATATTTCTTATATATATCCTGTGCATATCTGAAACTTTCTCTAATCAAATGGATCTTTATTTTAGTATCATCCATAAAGGCTGACCATATCACATGTCTAAATCTCACCTCTATCAAAGTCAAAGTATTCCTGCACTTCCAACCATATAGAGCTTTGTAAGGAGTTATACCTATGCTAGACATATAACTTTTGTTATACGTAAACTCTATTAGTGGAATATGATCCTCCAAACTATCCATAAAGTGTAGAATATAAAGTCTAACAAGATCCTCAAGTATATGAATAGTCTTTTTAGATTATCTGTCTATCTACAAATGAAAATTCATACTAAAGTGCAATTTTGTAACCAGCTCCTATTGAATATCTCTTCATAACCTATAGATAAATAGGCTATAATAATTATATATCCCCTTCAAAACATCATGTAATATGATAATATCTTTGACATATATTTGTGCTAACCTGTCTACTAGATCAGTCAGTCCGATTGAAATAAAATAAGTAGAATTTGGTAGTTAATCGATAATAACCTAGATTGCATCATGACCCTATCTCGATATGGGAA